TCTGTGTGTGTGTGTGTGTGTGTGAGTGTGGGCACACACATGCTATGGAGCATGTGTGGAAATCACAGGACAACTTTTGTGAGTCAGTTCTCTCCTTCAAAAGATTCTGGGGATCAAACTCAGATCATAAGCACGTTTACTTGCTGAGCCATCTCACTGGCCCATAAAATTCTTATTATTTTTTTATAAAATTATTACTAATTTTAAAAATTAGTCACACTATTTTGTGGGAGGGTGGGTGAGTACATGTGTCACAGCATGCATGTGGAGGTCAGAGGTTCTCTTCTTCTACTGTGTGGGGCCCAGAAATGGAACTCAGGTCATCAGGCATAGTGGTAAGCATCTTTACCCACTTGCCAGCCCTTAAAATGATTTTTAAATAAAAAATCAAATGTCTGACCTGTAGTAAAGCTGGTGTTCATTTCTATAGTCCAATGTTTCCTTTCATCTCTCGTCTTCTGACACAACCCCTTGGAGTCATGGAAACTCAACTCAACCCTTCCATGGCTCAGAAGGGAATGAGGTGTAGAGACTGATTTGGCTTAATTAATAATTTCCCAATTACGTTCTAGAGTTCTCACATTGATATCCAATGTATGTAAGGATAAAGGGAAGGCTTTTAGAAATGTTTTTGTGGCAAAATATATTTAACATAACATGTACCAGCTTAGCCAATGTAAGTGTGAGTTCAGTGGTATTAAGAACATTTGCATCATTGTGTAACCATGATTACACCCACCCACCCATCTCCGGAACTTTTTCATTTTCTGCAGCTAAAACTGTGTACTCATTAAACACTAACTCCTCAACTTCTGCTCCCCAGCCCCTGGAAATCATCATTCTCCTTTTGGTCTCTATGAATTTGGCCATTTTAGAAATTATGTATCTAAATTAGATGATATTAGACATTAATAAACAATATTAGATATTACATATAAGTAAAATCATACGTATTTATCCTTTTTAAAATCTATTACTTTATGTGTATGCGCAAATGAAGGTCAGAGGATCACTTGTGCAAGTTGGTTCTCACCTTCCACCATATGGGTCCTGGGAAATAACTCAGTTTGTCAGACTTGGCAGGAAGTGCCTTTATCCTGGCCCCGAAGTTTCTTTATCTGGCTTATTTCATTTGCCATAATGTTTTCACGACTCACCTCACATTGTAGCATGTATCAGAGTTTCATTTCATTTCATTTCTTTCTTTCTTTCTTTCTTTCTTCTTTCTTTAACGTCTTTTTGAGACAGGATCATCTGTAGCCCCAGCTGGCCTGGAACTTACTATGTAGACCAGGCTGGCCTTGAACTCATAGAGATCTACCTGCCTCTGCTTCCTAAGTGCTGGGATTAAAGGTATGTGGCACCATGCCCAGCCTCATTTCTTTAACAATTTTTCTTATTAATTCTTTGAGAATTTCATACATGTATACAATGTATTTTGATCAC